ATACATATATATATATATATATACATGTTTATACACTCTAGAAAGTTCAATATGCATACACACATACTACTAAAACATTTAAATACATGTATAGAGATTGACATTCGGTTTTATATTTCAGAGAGTCCTACAGTGTAGCAATTTTGTTTTTCATTGAATAATCTGTCAAGTCTTCATTCTTTCCTACTGTCCAAGTTAACATAAAACTCATTTTTAAAAATCTTCCTTTTCTTCTGGAGAGATCAGGGATAACAGGAGCATGACTAAACATAATAAAAGCAATATACATCAAACCAACAGACAACATCAAACTAAAGGGAGCAAAACTCAACATGATTACTCTAAAATCAGGAACAAGACAAGGCTGTCCACTCTCTCCCTATCTCTTCAATACTGTGCTTGAAGTTCTAGCTAAAGCAATAAAGCAACAAAAGGAGATCAAGAGAATGCAAATTGGAAAAGAAAAAGTCAAAATTAAACTATTTGCAGATGATATGATAGTTTACATAAGTGACCCGAAAAATTCTACCAGGAAACTCCTACAGCTGATAAATACCTTCAGCAAAGTGGCAGGATACAAGATTAACTCAAAAAGAAAAATAGTAACCCTACTACGTACAGACTATGTATGGGCTGAGAAAGAAATCAGGGAAGTATCACCTTTTACAATTGTCATGAAAAAAAACATAAAATACCTTGGGGTAATGCTAAACAAACAAGTGAAAGACCTGCATAACAAGAACTTTGAGTCTCTAAAGAAAGAAATTAATGAAGATACCAGAAAATGGAAAGGTCCCCCTACTCTTGGATAGGTAGGAGCAACATAGTAAAAATGGCAATCATGCCAAAAGCAATCTACAGATTCAACACAATCCCCATCAAAATTCCTGCACAATTCTCCACAGACCTTGAAAGAACAATACTCAACTTTATATGGAAAAACAAATGACCCAGGATAGCCAAAACACCCCTGTACAATAAAGGAACTTCCAAAGGCATCACCATCCCTGACTTCGAGCTCTATTATAGAGCTATAGTCCTGAAAACAGTTTGGTATTGGCACAAAATTAGACAGGTAGACCAATGGAAATGAACTGAAAACCCTGATATTGATCCATAAACTTACAAACACCTGATTTTTGACAAAGAAGCTAAAATTATACAGTGGGAAAAAAAAGAAAGCATCCTCAACAAATTGTGCTGGCCTAACTGGATGCTGGCATGGAGAAGACTGCAGATAGATCCTTATCTATCACCATGCACAAAACTTAAGTCCAAATGGTTCAAAGACCTCAACATAAATCCAGCCACACTGAACTTCTTAGAAGAGAAAGTAGGAGGCACCCTCAAACAAATTGGTACAGGAGGCCTCTTCCTGAACATAACACCAGTAGCATAGACACTGAGATCAACAATTTATAAATGGGCCCTCCGGAAACTGAGAAGCTTCTGTAAGGCAAAGGACACAGTCAACAACACAAAATGGCAGCCCACAGAATGGGAAAAAATATTCACCAACCCCACATCTGACAAAGGGTTGATTTACAAAATATACAAAGAACTCAAGAAGCTAGTCACCAAAACACCAAATAATCTAATGAAAAAGTGGGTAGCAGAACTAAATAGAGAATTCTCAATAGAAAAATATATAATGGCTGCAAGACACATAAGAAAGTGTTCACCATCCTTAGCCACCAGGGAAATGCAAATCAAAACAACTCTGATATACCATCTTGCTCCTGTCAAAATGGCTAAAATCAAAAACACCAATAACAGCTTATGCTGGAGAGGATATGGAGAAAGGGGAACACTCCTCCACTGCTGGTGGGAGTGCAAAGTCATAAAGCCACTTTGGAAATTAGTATGGCAGTTCCTCGGGAAAATGGCAATCAGACTACCATAAGATCCAACAATTCCACTGTTAGGCATATACCCAAAGGATGCACATTCATACAACAAGGACATCTGTTCAACTATGTTCATAGCAGCATTATTTAAGAAACCTAGATGTCCCCTCAACTGAAGAATGGATAAAGAAAATGTGGTACATTTACACAATGGAGTACTACACATTGGAAAGAAAATGGAATCTTAAAATTCGCAGTCAAATAGATGAAACTCAAAGAAACCATCCTGAGTGAGGTAACCCAGTCACAAAAAGGAAAACATGGTATGTACTCACTCATATATGGATTTTAGACATAGAGCAAAGGATTACCATCTTACAATCCACACCTCTAGAGAAGCTAGGAAACAAGGAGGACCATAAGAGAGACATGCATGGTCCCCAGGAGAAGGGGAAAGGTACAAGATCTCCTGAGCTAATTGGGAACATAGTGGAAGGGGAGAGTGAGCTAGGAGAAAGAGAAAGGGAGAAGAGGAGGGGAGAGGAGGACATGAGGGAGCAGGAAGATTGAGTCAGGGGAAGAATGGAGGAGAGAAAGAAAAGAGATACCATAATTGAGCAAGCCATTATAGATTTGAAGAAAAATCTGGCACTAGGGAAATGTCCAGAGGTCTACAAGGATGACCCCAACTAACAATCAAAACAATAGTGGAGAGGCTACCTTAAATGCCCTTCTCTGATAATGAGATTGACGACTATCTTATATGCCATCCTAGAGCCTTCATCCAGTAGCTGATGGAAACAGAGGCAGACACCCACAGCTAAACACTGAGCTGAACTCCTGGATTCCAGTTGCAGTTCAAGAGGAGTGATGAGCAAAGGGGTCAAGACCAGGCTGGTGAAACCCACAGAAATAGCTGACCTGAGCAAGGGGGAGCTCATGGACCACAGACTGATAGCTGGGAAACCAGCAGAGGACTGATCCAGACTCCCTGAAAGCAGATGTCAGTTTGGAGTTCTGGGCAATCTATGGGGCCTCTGGTAGTGGATCAGTATTTATCCCTAGTACAGGAATGGACTTTGGGAGCCCACTCCACATAGAAGGTTACTCTTGGCCTAGACACACGGCAGAGGGTCTAGGCCCTGCTTCAAATGAAATGATAGACTTTGAAGATTCCCCCATGGAAGGTCTCACCCTCCCTGGGGAGCAGAAAGAAGGTGGGATAGGGGTTTGTTTGAGGGTAGGCGAGGAGGGGAGAGAGAGGGAACTGGGATTGACATGTAAAACAAGCTTGTTTCTAATTTAAATTTTAAAAAAAGAAAAAAAATCTTCAGTTTGTCTTTGGATCCAAATGAAACCCTGAGTTCTCTGCCTTTTTTCTTCAAGGCTGTGAATTTGATGTTAGAAAAGTATCAACTTGAAGAGGGAGCACTCATGGGTGATTCAGATTAGGAGAGGATGCCTCAGGTATGATAGAACAGAGCTCCACCAACCAGTCAACATACACAAGCAAAGGGAGAAGAAAGCTGATGGGGATGTCCTTCTGTATATATGTTTCTCTTATTGGTTGGTGAATAAAACACTGTCTGGTCAATGAGACAGGAAGATAGGTGTGACTGGGATGAGGAGAATTCTGGAAAAGGAGGGCAGATAGGACCCACCAGAACAGTCTCCATGTAGGCTGCCAAAAAAGTAACAGATCTGGACCCTTCTCCGGTTAGATAAGACCACGTGGAAATAGTTAGATTAATAGAAATGGGTTAGTTTGAGACAGAGGTAGCCAATAAGAAGCCCTAGTCATCGGCCAACAGTTTCATAGTTAATATAGCGTCTGTGTGTTCATTTGGGGCCAAAGGGTTGTGGGATCCAGCCAGGACAAAGAACCTCTCATTATAGAAAGGTCCATAATCAAGATAAATTATCTACAAGAAGATACTAAAACTTTTTCCAAATTCTAGTTATTTCTTACTTTGTATCAGTTTTCAGTATTCTTGAAGATTTATTTAAAATCAAAACATGTTCTATTAAGCTTGCAATTCTTACTTACTTTGAAGCCTCAGCATCACTCCATGCCAGCTATTTAGTAAGTGGTAAGGAAGAATTTATTTAAATTTTTAAAAATGTATTAAAAATCAAATGTAAAAACGTCTATTTTTAATTCCATGAAATATTTAACTCATTAAGATAATTCATTTTATTATAGTGAGAATTTTAAGAGCACAAAATTGGTATTCTTTATCTAACCACAATAGGTTTCAATTCCATGGCTATTTAAGATATTGATAAATCCAAATAAAGTTACTCATAAACCTTAAACCTTTACAATTAGAATTAAACCTTCTAAGTAGGTAGGATTATTAGTGGCTCATTGATAACTAATTCAATATTAAAATGAATTTGCTAATTTAGTATTGAAATGGGCACTTATAATTTAGTATACATAATTAACATGTATATGATTAATAATAGCAGACCAATTAGTTAAAGACACATTTCTTATGCTATTCTGTCATCTGAAATAGTTACTGTAAAATTGTTAACTTCAATTCCTAGCACTTATGATAGACTTCATAACCAGCCATTGAACATACGTGCCAGTTTCTGCTTCAAACAGCTACTGGATGAAGGCACAGATAAGCACCGAATCATACTTGTGGAATCCAACAGTGGAGAGGGAGAAGGGATGAGCAAAGGAACCAAGATGGTGCTGCAGAAACCAGCAGAAACAGTTGACCTGACCTACTGAGAGCATGGAGACACTAGTCATAAAGCTGGGGAAACAAAATTGGACCAAACCAAGCCCTCTGAATGTGGGTGCCAGCTAGGAAGTCTGGGCAGTCTATGGGACCTCTAACAGTGGAGCCAGTCTTTAACCCTAGAGCACAAATGGACTTAGGGAGCCCATTCCCTATGGAGGGATACTATTGCAGCCCAGATACAGCAAGGAGGGCCTAGGCCCTTCCTCAAACAATATGACAGACTTTGAAGGTCCCTGATGGAGGGTCTCACTATCCCTGGGGCGGAGTTGGAGGATGGGTTGGGGGGGTTGGTGGGGAACATGGGAGGATAGGAGGGTGAGGGAATGGGGGGATGGATATGTAAATAGGAGTAGTAATTAAAGAATTTAAATTAAAAAAATTTAAAAGTACATACATGCCATTCTGTACTACCATCCTCTCTCCCAAGAGCCAGCAGTTTTGAGAATGGGTTTCCTGCACAGCCAGCATCGCTGTCTGGGCTCATGGGTCCATGCTCTGCCAGAGGCATACAGCTTGGTGTTGGAGGTGGTGTCCTCTTGAGAGTCTGGTTGAATACCTGATGGTCAAGGGTCATGAAAGGTGTTACTTGCTGTCCCTGGACATTCTGTAGCTGAGGCCTTGTAGAGCTTTCCAACTGCGCCTGGACCTGCAGATTCAAAAACAAGTAAATGACATATGGAACTCGATGAAGTAAGCCAGTTTTTCCTGCAAAGGGAAAACGTATTATAATCTGGATAATTTCAGATTATATTGATGCTTCTGTCCTAAGGTGACAGGATATCAATGATATGATGGTTTTTAAGAAAGGAGTTAAAAATTAATAAAAGTATGTCATATTAGCAAGGCTTGAAAAGTCCATCCATGTCTATAAAAATTAGGAATAAATATGAAAGTATCAATAATATTTGAGTATCTAGAAAAAGAAGTCTGTTGTCTGGGGATCCAAAAGTAGAACTTTCAGCTAGCCTTTCAGCAATATATTTGTCAACATTCTGCCGTGTTTTCTTCTATGAAAATAATAGACTAGACCTCTGAATTGTAAGCCAGCCCCAATTAATTATTTTTTCTTTAAAAGAGTTGCTGTGGTCAGCTAAACACTGAACTGAACTCCTGGAATCCAGTTGCAGAGAGGGAGGAGTGATCAGCAAAAGGGTCAAGACCAGGCTGGTGAAACCCACAGAAACAGCTGACCTGAACAAGGGGGAGCTCAGGGACCCCAGACTGATAGCATAGAACTGATCCAGACCCCCTGAATGTGGGTGTCAGTTTGGAGGTCTGCACAATCTATGGTGCCTCTGGTAGTAAGTCAATATTTATCCCTAGCATATAAATGGACTTTTGGAGCTCATTCCACATAGAGGGATACTCTCTCAGCTGAGAAACATGGGGTAGGGCCTAGGCCCTGCTCCAAATGATGTGACAGACTTTGAAGATCCCTAAATTGGCCATTATACAAAATATACTACATTATATATTTGGTTATTATGTACAATAAAAGGTTTTATTAAAAAATTATAAAAGTATCCATAAGGAAGCAGACACTAGAAGCAGATATACCATTAAATATGATAGTGTAATAATGGCAATGTCCCAGGTGGCTGTTTTTCTACTTTTCTGTATTTTTCAGTGTTTTTCTACAGAACAGGATTTTGTCTTAAAATTTTTCATTTTTTTCTATGTTCCAAACAAATAATTACAACAAATTTTAGCATGCATTCCCAAGAATCAACAGGTAAAAGCACTGTGAAAAATTCTAATGATTCTGGTGTGCCAACTAAACAACTGTCTTGAAATCCTTTTACAAAATATACCATTAGAATTCTGGGCATCCATGCTTACACAGATGGCTCCAGTTACAAACACTGGGTCCCCAAACAAAACAAAAGCACATAAAAATGAAAGAGGATGGGTAGGAAGAGAGGGGCTGATAGGAACAGAAGGGAGCGTGGGAGTGGGGAGTGTAGAACATTGTGTACATGTATGAAAATGGTAAAGAACAATTTTAACAAAGAATTTTGAGCATACTCAGTTTGGTTGTCATAGTTAATATTGGCCCATCATTTGCAAAAGGATAGCTTTAAGCACCTCAGCCTTCCCTGTAAAAACGTGCACATGGAGCATTTACAAAAACCTATAAAATGGAGTATTGCCTGCCAGTTGCCTTTATATTTACAATGCTGTGATGTGGCTTTTAATACATTTTCCTCAAGTGGCCAATATATAAACCTATTTAATTTTCCCTCATGTTAAACAATAGCAAAGATTGCTGTACAGTGCTTATTTTTCTTTTTATTTCATTATACAAACTACTCCGTAAATCCCTCACCATGTATTAGTTCAAATAAATAGCCTGTAGAAAGTATTTTGCATTTATATTAGCTGGTATGGGGTGCAATATTGTAGTAGTTACTTTAGTCTAATTCTGTTATGCTGACATTTTTAACATTATTTTAATTGTACTACCATAAAATAATTTTCAGTCATATAAAAAAGATTAAGACTGGCCATAAAGATTACACATATTACTAATTATACTGCTATGAGCTTTAAAGCTGTAAAATAACATTTCATTAAAATGCCAATAGTAATTTTTAAGGGTAGATGTTTAGATGATCCTAAATAGAAATTAATCCCTCTTAGTCTATACACAGTTAAAAAATAGACACAATAAAGAATACTTACAGTTTCACAGATCCAAACAGTATTTCAGGCTATGTAACCACATGAATTGTGTGTAACAGTACAGCATTGTACTGACAAATGGACCATGTCTCATCTTTTAAGTAAAGTATTTGGAATTAGAATTCAGTTCATTAACTAATTCATTTTTCGCCTTTCAACCATTGATGCTATACATATTTACTGGACTTCATGCTTCCATGGGATATCAAGACTAAATGTTTTCTATGTGATCCCAGAGTCCTTGGAGTTCATAATCTACTGGTTGGACATAACTAGAGCAACCATGTCAACCACAACAGTAAGCAAAACAACAGTTATTGATCACTGGAACAGACAGTTTGCACATAGTATTGTTGTTGTTGTTAATCTTTATTTAAAAACCAGGAGATAGGTACCCTTAGTGTCCCCACAGAATTATGTTAACTGTACCTGGGATTCAGAAACATTAAACAGCATGCCTGTTACCCACAGCTAGTTGGGAAGAGAATTAGAATACACAGCCTATCCCCTAAGCACAATGACATTGGTTTCTGAATGAACTAGTCAAATTAGCAGAGTCCAACAGAAAGGCATGGTAGTATACTCAGTGAATTTCAGACGACATGAAAAAGCAGTGCTTTTATGAACATCTTAGAGGAAGAGCATGTGGTAATAAGGTGGGTGGTGCATAGAGAGAAAGTCCTATGCGGAAGGGAAATGAAAGGGTGTTTTGGACGAAAATAAGATGAAATATCAAGTGGGGAAAATGTCACAAATCTGTGTCCCTTTAGAAGTCACACAGATGCCCTTCTAATCAGCACTTTGTCTTTTTCAATTGCTCTGTAATGATAAAGATTCACAATGGGAACAGCCTATCTGAATGGTTGGCCATGGGGCTTAGCAAGCAACTGTGGGGATTGTGTTGGCTGCTATCTACACAACTAAGCAGGAAAGTCTTTGTTTCCTGCCCACAGGAAGAGTCAGTAAACTGTGATAAGGCACCCTCCTACCCAGGCACCCCTCCTACCCGGATCCTGACTTTTCCAGTCTCAGACTGATATCAAAACAATGGGACAGCTCAGGGCAAAACATACATCAAGCAACATTCACATTACTTAAATTTGGGGGGCTCTAAAAAACGCAAAACATCTGCTCAATTTGTTCTACCGAATACCCCAATCTTTTCTGATATTCAGTAAGTTTAATTACAGGTTGCTGTTCATTTACACACCAGCTCTATGTTTGCTTTTAAGAGTCAAGCATGTGCCACTGAATAATGTGGTAAAGGTAGAGAAAGATTGCCGTTTGTGTCTGAGTTCAAGTGTCTTTGTCTGGTCTCACTATGGCCAGGAAGGAAGGGAAGAGTTCACTATAGGCAAAGACCAAGCTCTTCACACTGGTCCCTCTGCTACCTCACCCCTGGTCACAACCTAGAGAAGACACATAGCATGTACCTAAAAGAGTATGTGTGCTGTGATTGGATAAATAGGTCATGAGACTGCAGTGTGTATGAGTGCAGTGAGGAAGGCAAGTAGCTTTGGGAATCCATGGACCTGCTGTTGCTCAGGCATAGGCAGAGTACCAGTCTTTACTTAGAAAGTTCCAGCTGGCCAGAGTTTGCAAGATGTCTCCCTGGACTGTCATTGGATCATTGCAAAGGAAGGAATTTTTGCTGTTGAAAATAATGAAAGGGTCACATTTCCAAAATTATGAACTATGTTTTAACAGTATTTCCCAATACACTGCTGTTACAAGCTAAAGTACATAGAGCAAGCATCTATTTCCACATACCTTGAGATTTCATAGAATCCAAGGCCTATTTATTACAATTTGGGGGTTTTGCTGTTTGGTTTTGCCTATCACATCATGTCTGGCTGTCTATGGACTCTTAAAATTTTACTAAAAGCCAAGAAATGAACATACTTTGAAGATAACATCTCAAAGAAAGAATCAGAATGAAATTCAAGGAAGAAAAGTTAAGAGTTGTTTACTAGAGATTGAAGTACTGATAATGAATATGCTGAGGATGCTAGGTAATTGGGTCCCAGGCAAGAATACAGAGAAATGCAAACCAATTTGTGGAAATTCCAATAAAAAATGAGAAGAAATTCTAAAGACCAAAACACTGCCACAAAAATGAAGAATGCCTTTGGTAGGCTTACTGTATCAGACACAGCTGGCAAAAGTATCTATGAGGGAAAAAAAATGCCTTAGTAGGGACCTCAAATACTAAGGCACTAAGAGAAATAAAAGTTCTTTTGAAAACCCAGAATATACAGTAGCTATAAAACTATAATCAAAGTTTTCATTGCTTAACAAAATGCTAGATGATATAACAGAGATATCTTGGAACAGTAAGGGTTGACAGTTGCTCAAAAGTATTGTGATAGAGCAAGCCATAGACACTGAATTCCCAGAAAATTCCAAGAAGGACAAATACCAGAGAAAAAGTGAAGAAAGAAAAGGGAGGAAGCAAAGAAAATGAGAAGGGGGAGTGGAAAGGAATAAATAAATAAATAAATAAATAAATAAATAAATAAATAGGAGCAGAAGGAAATAAAGCATGCCTGGACATACAATATTCAAAACTCATAGAAAATAATACTGAAAGAAGACAGTGAAAATCATTTTTCCCATAGATAAGCAAGAATTAGAATGGCTTCAACCACCATGCACATAATGAGAAGAGAAAGTGAAACATTCAACAAGTTGAGGGCACAGCTACAGGCTAGAACTTGGTAACACGTGAGACTTCCCTCTAAAAGTGAAGGAACAAGAAGGAAGTTTTCAAAGAAACAGAAATGGTTGAAAATTCCTGCCCATAGCCTTGTCCTGAGAGAGGAGTTGGAAGTCCTTCCTCAGGCCAAAAACCTCAGATCCACATAAACAGGAAAGCAGTAGAAAGCCACAAGCAAAAGGAAGTGAGTTTTTAAATTGTCTGTTACTTTTAATTGACCTAATCCATGATATTTTTTTCAGAGCACT